TCCAGGATTATCTTCTGTGTCTGTGTTAATTGGTTTCCCTTTTCTTTGTTGAAGAGGGTCTGTGCAGTCTTTCTGCCTAGTCTGCCATCTTACTGGAACTCCTCTTAAGATATTATTTTGAAGCTACAAACCATGATCTTCTTTTCTTTGTCCTTAGAATATATGCTATTAGGGATGTACAAACAAATCACTGCTACAAAGCCACTGCAAATAATTCTTTAATATCCCCAAATTGATAGACAGTTAGTCTCATTTGCTTCATTTGTGTTAAAATTTTAGCAATTGCTTTATTTTTATTTTTTATTTACATTACTTTCTAAATCATAAAGCCTGCTTATATATGATTCTGCAGTTAAAACAACTAAGCAAACTACATCCAGAAGGATGTATATCCAGCTCTTATCTCAGTGTTGCCTTCTAGGGGGTCACCATTTTTATTAGTATTTGATTTATCCAGTTACCATTTCTTTGTGAAAACATAAGCAAATATGTACAAGTCTTCATATTTCTTTTCTTTATTACACAAAAAGGTTTAGACACCCCCACATTGCCCTGTGCCTTTTATCATCGTTATACTCTTAGGCATGATCTTCAAGCTATATTATAGACCTTTTTTCCTCTTTCCTTTTTACTTGTTTATTACAAAGAATATGAAAGCACTTGACTGCTAACCAGAAGGCCACTCCAAGGTTCAAACCCACCAGCCACTCCTCGGAAGGATGGTTGGGCAATCCTACTTCTGTAGTGATACTGCCTTGGAAACCCAAGGAGGGGTCGCTATGAGTCAGGGCCGACTCAACGGCACATAACAACAACAACAACAACATATATTATTTTATTATTATTATTATTATCATTATCTTGATTTGGGTGAAAGTTACAGAGCAAACTCATGTTCCATGCAACAGTTCACCCGTATTTTGTTTCATGACGTTGATTGCAATCCCCATAATTTAATAGCTCTCTTCTCACTTCCTCCCTGTGGTTACTTTTTCCTGCCTCTTTCTTTCCTCTGCATTTCTGCGCTTTGAGCTATTCCCTGTGCAAATACTGCCCTTCTTATCTCCCACGGTCAATTGTTCTAAGGAGTGTACCTACTTGATATAAATGTTCACCTTGTTGTTGTTGTTATTTGCCATCGAGTCAGCCCTTCATTCTTCTTTGCTCTAGATGAGGTGAAATCAATTGTTGCATCCTAGACGGCTGCTTGCAAACTTTCCTCATTCTTTCTTAATTGGCATGATATTTCATTATATGGATGTACTATGTACAGGTAGTCCCTGATTTACAGGATTCTGTTCCAAAAACCTCATCATAAGTCAGTTCTGGCTTAAGTTGAAAACTTCTTTTCTTGTTTTTAGTTGTCATTATTATTGTCTTTCATTGCTAGTGACTTTATAAATCTGATCTTTGTCACTGGAGGTTGGAAACATAACATATAACAACTATAAGTGAACATCTGAGAATGATAACATCAGTAAATTCCATGCTGCAACATTACATGTAGTACATATTACTAAGAATAATATGTGCAAAAAACAAAACAGTTGTAAGTGCAGTTCGTCATCATTTGAATACGTTTTAAGTCAGGGACTGTCTGCATGTGCAAAGGTTATGCCTTATTTTTCAGAGACCTCTGAACCATCAAAACTCAATCACATATCCTTTCATCCTTGTAGCATTTCTCACATGCCCTGTGCATAGTCACTGAAATTGTTTCAATAATTAAAAAAAAGCATATCTTTTCAAGACTAGTTTTTCTTCTTGTTTTCAGCTCCCTAAAGGCAGGTACTACATCATCCCTGACAGCCTTTACTACGTCTTTACCAAGTCTTTCTTGATCTTTTGCTCCTTGATTTAGTGTTTTTCCTCTTCCTTCTCTAGTTTTACAAAATGGCATTCTCTGCAGAGGAAATAACAGAAGCAAAGGCTCAGCAGTACAATTAGAGTATAAGGGTGTGTTTAGAAACAGTAGGTAGCCCTAGCTGTGGAAAGCCTAGAGCAAGTGTAGGCAAGAGAGAGGAGATAAACTCTCGCTTAGCAGTAAGAGTGAATGCAGATTCCATCCAGTCCAAGAAAAGCACTATTTGGTGGCCTGAAGTTAAGCAAAGATGGATGATTATATTGAGGTCTGTCTTCTCGAAGATCTGGAAGTGCTGCAAGCAAAAATGATGAGAGTGGAAAGAATAGCTGATATTATGTTCCAGAACGATAAGATGTTGAATTAAGAGGTTGCCAAGACTCCACTGTTGCCCAGACAAATTCTTACCCCGGATTCTAGTTTCTGGACCTGCTTTCTCCCTCCCTTCAAGGAAGTTTCCTCAGCTTCCTCCAGCCTTTTTTGTAAGTCTTTGATTGCCTGTTGCATATACTTTCTCATCCTTTCCAGTGGGCATTGGTGATTTGCTCCTCCTTCGATTTTTCTGCCATGTTTGCTGCTTTAAAAAGAGAAAAGGCACTGAGCTAAGCAAGCAGCCAATTCATTTTCACATTTCTACTCACAGTCTTCATTTCATGTATGATCACATGTCATGCCCGCATATATCAGCTCTCCCTATCACACCCTCTCTAGCCTTTGCTGCCCTTGAGCTCGTGAATTAATAGGCAATGGAGTCCACAACAACTATGGGAGAGATTGGGGGGGGGGGTTAAGGTGAAAAGCACTCAGATAAAGTACCCATACAAACATTTTTACACAACACCTTTTCTGAAAGGAAGATGACCATGAACTGAATAAAGCACCAGGATATCTTCTGTACCGGTGTCACATGATGCATCTGGAAAAGTACAGAAAAGGGCATGTGAAAATCTCTTTTTACATCTCACTTTTATAATTCTGTGATTCACAAGTACAAACAAGTTTAGGCTCCAGGAATTTGGCACCAACAGAAGCTCTCAGTGCCAATAATCTGCATGAGGAAGGTTAATTCTTGCTTATGAAACTTGCTCTTGGCTTCGGCTATGTGTACAAGGGCTTGATATCTCAGTGCTATTATTAAGAACTGTTTCATGAATCTCTTAGTGAATTTAATGTGAGAACACTGCCCTTCCAGCCAAAGCTTCTCTGTCTATCAGGTTACCAACCATCTGTATAATTTAAGTGTGAGACGTCTGTGCAGATGGTGAGGGCAGAGAATGAATTATGGAGGCATCTCTGGGTTCTGCCATGCAGAGTGGGAACTCAGAGTAAAGCTATTGAAGAATTGCAGGGGTGGAGTGGAGAGGCAGTGAGTTCACTTTTCAAATTGCCAGGAAAATCTTGTAACAGCAAGGTTAAGTGGATAGCTTCTTTATAATGTGTGACTGCATAAATTTATCAAGCAGGAGTAGAAGCTCTTTTTATTCTTTCCTATCTCTGTGGATTTTCATAAACATTAAGCATATTATTTTTGCCTTGGCCATCAAACAATTTTAAGATTTCACATACCTCTTTTCTGTCAGTAGTAATGTCTGCCTTGATGCAAAATGGCTGAGTGACCGGGAATGCTCCTCCACCCCTAGAAGGGGGCTGAATTTGACAATGTCCTGGCAGCTAGGATGTGGTTTAAAGGTTTTGTTTCATTCCCCTACTGCTAAATAACTTGGGCAAATATAGACACAAGCTCTTCTCTTTTGGAATTTTAAAAAGACTAAAGTTAATCCTAATTGAATATCCTGTTCTCCAATCCTCATACTTTTTGTAGCAAGATCATCAGCTTCTATTAGACGCAGCTTGGTCAGGGCTGTTGCATATGACTATGCATCTGATAGACTGCACAAGGCATTTTCTGGGAGAAGGGGTGAGTAGAGGCTGATATCAAGCCCAAACTTCACTTAGCAGCTCCTTGGTCCAGCAGTCCCAGAGTCTCCCTATGCAAACCTCCCCCAACACCAATGTTTTTTGCTCAGTGGTACCTTTTGTTTGTCATACGCTTTCAGACAAGTGCTGCCTCTCTCCAGAAGGGATGCCCAGAAGGTGGCCTTTTTCCTGTTTCCACAAGCAAGGATACAATCAGGGCTGGCAGCCCACCCTGAGCTGAGTGTCATTCAGGAAAAGCACTACCACCACCAAGTTCAAATTTGCAGACAAAGAAGGTACATCAGCCCTGAAGCTCTTCTTTACCAACCTGATTTTGCTACTCAAACAGTAATATGGATTATCAAAAATAAGTGAAACCAACATTCTTTCTGGATCCTCATCAGAAAACCATTACAGACCTAAGGAAAATAGCTTTTTGTAAGGAAACACAGGAAGAATTGTTTCTAGATGCTAGATATATTGATTCACAAGCGGAGTGGCTTAACTCTTCCTTTCATAAGGTTTTGCTCATAGCAAACCAACAGTTCCTTTTCATTGCCAGAGTAGGTTGAAAAGGAGGAGTTAATTGCCTTAATTTTGCAAGAAGGGGACAGAGAGACTGAAGCCTGAGCCCACCTCCTCCTGGCAGTGTGGGGAATCAATAGAATCATTTTTGGGTGCAGATTTGCCCCAGCCCCTTGGCCACTGCTCTGGTAAACTCTAGAAGATAGGAGTGGGCAGAAGCCAGGGGACTCACCTTGGTGGCTACCTTCTTGTCCTTCTGCATGTTGACAACCCTGCACCACCACTTTGGCTTTTCTTTTCTTGCAGTCAGCAACATCAACTATTAGTTTCTTCTTCTGGCTGAGGAAGCTTGTGTTCTGCGGAAAAAAGAGGAACACCAATCAGGGGAGTTAGGTACTGCAATGTACCTGTAAGCTGGTGGGAACTGGCTCTGGCCAGTAGAGCCTTATTCTAATCTGTCATACTCAGTTAAGCAATAATTCCAGCTCCAGGAGGGCACAAATCCATCTTGGGAGAAGTACAACCAGAATGTTCCTTAGGAGCTAGGATTAAGAGACTTTGTTTCACTTACATGTTATCAGGAGGGACCAGTCCCTAGAGAAGTACATCATGCCTGATAAAGCAGAGGGTCAGAAAAAAAAAAAAAAAAAAGAGGACCTTAACAAGGTGAACTGACTGAAACAACAGATTCAAACAAAGCAATGGTTGTAAGGATGGGTATGTTTTGTTCTGTTATGTACAGGGTTGCTGTGAGTTGGAAATGCCTTGATTGCATAACAACAGGAGGTCACTTAGAAAAACCATCTGCACCATCAAAAGATACTAGAATGAAAGGAGTTTCATGCATTAGATGTTCAGTATTAAAGAGATGGCAGCCTGAATCAGAAAGGAGAACTGGATCTCAGGTAACTTACAAGTCCCAAACAGGTATTTGGTCTTCCCTTCTGCTCTTTGATGTGGTGGAAGCAAGTGTCCCAGAGCAGAAGTCAGGGTCAACCGCAGATATCTGAGGAGCAAGTGGGTGAGGAATAAAAATCACAGTTCCCAGTGTGCTGCTGCTGGAAGAAGAGGGAGAGAAAAAAAGAAAAAAACCCTCTTCTCTTTATCCACCTCCATTCCTATCTGACTTTGCGACGAGAAGGTGGTGGGAAAAGTAGTTTAGAATGAGCCTCATTCTCTAGCCCTTAGGGACCCACAATACAAGAAGGGATTCTTTATGTTCTGCTGCTGGTGCTGCCCCAGTTCTTTCCATCCTAGTTGTGACACTAGAGGCCAAAGCTCCTTTTGCTGCTATTTGGTCCATCTTTGAAGCACAGCTTTTCTGGGGTTGTGAAACCTTAGCATAAAGAGTGTATATAAAAGCACAAGCTTTCTACTTTTTATTTCTCCTCATTATCCTTTCACTTCCTACCAGCCAGTGCCTCTCTCAGTGGCAGGCTAAAGCCTTGGAAACAGAGAGATATTTCTGCTTCACACGAGCTCTGCCCTGCTTCCTCTATGGCATGTGACATTTTCATCAAGCTTGTCAGTCTTTGTCCTTGTGCAGAGACTGGCTTTGTGCACCTTGGGCTTTCCATTGCCAGGGGTATGGCTGGTAGGGATAAATAAAGCTTTTCCTGAAGTATTCTCTAGATGCTTGCTGTACCCAACTCCACAGAAACTTTTTCTTTCTAAAGGAAAGAACAAGTATAAATGCTGATGTGTAGAATCATTTAAAATCTGCTAGGAAGATAATATGGGGGCAGTAGGAGCTCTGGTAGCATAGTGGCTAAGACACTTGCCTGCTAACCAGACGGCTGGCGGTTCAAACCCACCAGCCACTCCTCGGAAGGA